CTTTCCTTTCCTTTCCTTTCCTTTCCTTTCCTTTCCTTTCCTTTCCTTTTCTTTTCTTTTCTTTTCCTGTCCTGGAACTCAATCTGTAGACCACGCTAGCCTGGCACTCATAGAGATCCATTTGCCTCTGCCTCCCTAGAGCTGGGATTATAAAGGCTTGCACCACCACCTACCACCTGACTAAAAACATCTTTAAAAAAATGGGAGAAAGCTAAGGCAGGAGAACTGCTGTGAGTTCAATACTAGCCTGAACTATACATCAAAATTAGAACAGCCTGGGCTTGAGTAAGAAGTTTCAAAAATAAACAAAATGTTTAGGGTGGGAGAGATGGCTCGCGGCTAAGGGCACTTGCTCTGGAACCAGGAGGGTCTAGATCCAAGGAGGGCAGAAACACAGGGTGGCCGTGGCCCCCTAAGTTGATTCTTTACTTCCCAGTTATTGACCCTTTAGACTTCATTTCCTTCCTACTCCAAATCAGATCCTGAAGTCCTCCAACCATGTTCTTCCCTCCTCACATTAGACCTACAGCCTCGTGTAAAAGGAACTTTTATTTGCCTGGTTCAGTCTCAGAGGCTCACTGCCTCCTGCTAACTTAGGCCTAGTCCTGGAAGCTTCTAGCCTCCATACAGTCTAACTCCATACAATCTAACCTAGAATGTTTGCAGCCTCTGAGATTTACTGCTAAATGAACTGAGTCTTTCTTGTACTTCCTGAGCTCTGGGCTGGCTGGTTCAACTCAGCTGTTCTGGCTCACCCTCCTCTCCCAGCTGATTTATTCAATCCGGCTTCTCTCTCAGCCTCTGAATTGCTCTGCTTGGTCTCAAACTAATGCCAGGAATCTGCTCTAATCTCCTGGCTCCTTCTCATCCTCTGGCTCATTCAGTCTTCACTTGAGTTCTCTCTGCATCGTGTCTCTTTATTACTGTCCTGGTAAAAACTGCCTCCTCCTCTTTCTCATTGCCCCTCAAGTAGCTTCCCTTTCTTCTGAAAGTTGGGTAGATCCTATTCTGTCAAGTCTTTCTCTGATTAATCACTGTTTCTGCCACTCAATTAGACATCACTTTCAAAGATGGGTGCTTCCTTCTACAAACTAACTTTACCTTCATTGTTTGGGATTAAAGGTGCATACCAGCACAGCTGGACCTAAGCTTTTCTTTATTTGAAAATTGCTCTATATCAGGCTGGCCTTGAACTCAGAACCGCTTGCCTCTGTATCCTGAATTAAAGGCATGTTTCTATTCTAGCCGGATCACACAGACCTAGAAGGTCTTTGGATATGATCTTTTGCCAGAACCGCCATGTTCTGAATTAACATTCTACAGCCTCGGTTTTACAGACCAATACAGTCACCACCACCCTTCTCTGATTGCTGCCCCCACCTTCAAGTGCTCTGTGAATGTCTTTCACTGAGGTCACAAGGAACCTGCCTGCCAAATATGACACTGCTAACTCAACTTCCAAAACAAGGTCCGGAAAAAGCAGACACCTGCTACTGCTGAGCACTCTAATCAGAAACTGCTCTCCTCCAGCTCCAGCAGCACCACTCTCCCCGGGGTCTCTTCTCAGCTCACTGGCTCTTCCTCAGCATCCTTTCCTGAAGCAAGCCACTGACCTATCTGCAAAGCCTACCAGGGGGCACTACTGACAAACGGCAGTCTTTATGGCATGTGCCTCCCATTTCACAAACCTCTCTGGATACCATGGCTTCTACATTTATTTTTGTGTCGACAATTCCCAAGCCTGTATCTGCTGCCTATGCCTTCCTTGTGGCACCAAACCTGCACATGGAACTGGACATTTCCCTCTCAACGAAAGCTGTCCACAGTGCAACAAAGGGATCAACAGTATAGGGTTCCGACTGCCTGGCCAAGGGTCTGACTTTGCCACTCACTAGAAATGAGCTCAGACAAGTTATTTAACCCACTGTGCCTCAGACTCTCCACTCACCAAGCAAGGGTGATCTTAAACCTACCCTCAAAGAGTTCTTGTCACAGTGAAATGGTTCATATAAACAAAAGCATACAAAATAGGGCCTTCCATTAGAGGCAGCCAATAAACGTTAGCTAGTTAGCTAGCTAGTATTATTACCTTCATTATTGATCACCATCATCACCCCACACAGGCCCCAGAAACTGGACATGCCAGAAAATGAACTTGTTATCTTCTCTTGTTCTTGAGTGAATCACCTAGGTAATAAAACAAAAATGTTAAAGGATTCCTAGTACCTCTATTTTTCCTCATATTCTCTATCTACCTCAACTATCATCCATAACAGTTCTTATTTCTTTATTTCTTTCTTTATTTATTTATTTGAGGCAGGGTCTCACTATGTAGCTCTGTGCTTCCATTTCCCTGCCGGGAGCAGGCGAGACCTCAGAGGCTGTGAGCATAATGAGAACAGACTCTCAGGAGGCAGCTTCAGTGAGGCAGCTCCTTGAATGGGGGAAACAAAGGCTACTTAAACTTTTGGTGGGTAGGTAGGGGCTTTTGGGGTGAATCATTAACTGGGGCCAGGGTGCTGGAGATGCCTCATTTGCATAAGGAAGACTTCTAAGTACTGCTAGACATGACTTTATAAGGGGAGAGGAAGTTTAACCTGGCTAGTGGACTGCATGACCTGCTGGCAGGGGCTGAAGTGGGAACAAAGGTCTGGAACATACAAGCCTGGGCAGTGGGGGAACAATCTCACAAATGCCAAACTCAGGCAGAGATTCAAAGGGTTTGGACATGCTTCAACCTCACTCATGCCCCAGGCTGGTTTTCCCCAGTCCCACAGCCCTGGCTGGCCTGGAACACTATGTAGACCAGGCTGGTTTCAAACCTACAGAGATCCACCTGCTCTGCTTCATAAATGCTGGGATTAAAGCTGTGTATCATCATACCCAACTCATGCTAATTTTAAAACTTATCTCAACAGGCCAGTGAGATGGCCCAGCGGGAAAAGATGTTTACCATCAAGCCTGACAACAGTCCACGCTTCAGGGCTGGAGAGATGGCTCAGAGGTTAAGAGCACTGGCTGTTCTTTCAGAGGTCCTGAGTTCAATTCCCAGCAACCACATGGTGGCTCACAACCATCTATAATGAAATCTGGTGCCCTCTTCTGGCATTCAGGTGTACATGCAGGGAGAACATTGTATACATAATAAATAAATCTTTAAAAAAAATAATAGTCTAAGCTTCAGGGGATGGGATGGGGGGAGAGGGGGCTAGGCATATAAAGATGAAAAAAAGAAAAATTATTATTATTATTTTTGAGACAGGGTGGGTTTCTCTGTGTAGTCCTGGCTGTCCTGAACTCACTCTGTAGACCAGGCTGGCCTCAAACTCACAGAAGATCCTCCTGCCTCTGTCTCCCTGAGTGCTGGGATTATAGGTGTATGCCACTGTGCCCAGCTAAAAAAATTTCTTTTAAAAAATAATTGATACCAGAAATTTTGGGTTTTTTTTTTTTTTTTAATTTGTTTACTTAGATTTTTTTTCAAGACAGGGTTTCTCTGTGTAGTCCTGGCTGTCCTGGAACTCACTCTGTAGACCAGACTGGCCCTTAGCTGCCACCTGCCTCTGCCTTCTGAGTGCTGGGATTAAAGAACTGTGCCACTACTACCCAGCTTGTTCTGTTTCATAAGACAGGGTCTCACTGTCTAGCCTTGACTGACCTGGTGTTCCCTATGTGGACCAGGCCATCCCTCATCTTGTGACTATTCTCTTCCATGGGAATCTCCAATACTGGGATTACTGGCTTAGGCCAACTGGTCTACCTACAAAAAATGATTTCATTTTATCAAATTCACTAAGCAGGTGCTCGACAAGGAAAGGGCTCATCTCTCAGCTAACAACATTTTCTTTGTTTTCTCTTCTGTTCTTTTCTTTTTTTTTTTTTTTTTTTTTTTCCTTTTTTGGTTTTTCAAGACAGGGTGTCCCTTTGTAGCTTTGGCTATCTTGGACTTGCTTTGGAGACCAGGCTGGCCTCAAACTCACAGAGATCCGCCTGCCTCTGCCTCCACTAGTGCTGGGATTACAGGCGTGTACCACTGTGCCCAGCCACTTCACTTTCTTAAAAGGTTAATTTTAAAATTTACAACTTTTCTTAGTTATAATGACTGTGCTACAGAAGCATAGCAATTAAGACTTTTAGCTTTGTTTAGCAAAAATTGATCTGAAAAGTTTATTCAGCAGCTAAGACCAAGCACTGCTCTAGCAGAGGACCTGAATTTAGTTCCTAGCATCCATAAGTGGGTCACAACCACTGTTAAGTCTAGTTCCAGGGGATACAACACCTTCTGGCCTTCATAGGCCCCTGGACTCACAGTACATGCATTCATGGGTACACAGGCAGACATAATTAAATCTTTTTTTTTAAGTGCAGCTTCAGACATGGTGAATAATTTGTGTGCAGATAAAGTTCCCCAGGCCAGGCCTGATGGCCATTTCTGACCTTTTCCATGATAGTTGAGTAGCTGCATTCCTTGGAAGTATGTGTCTGAATTAGGGAAGGCAGTTATGCATACAGTATAAAGGAGCAGACTGTCAGCTTTAAATTTCGGCTGCGGGCCAGGCGTGGTGGTTCATGTCTTTAATCCCAGCACTAGGGAGGCAGAGGGAGGTGCGTCACTGAGTTCCAGGGCAGCCTGGTCTACAGAGCAAGTTCCAGGACAGCCAGTACTATAGAGAGAAACCCAATCTTGAAAAATCAAAACAAAACAAAAATAAATAAAAAAAAACTGGCTGCTTACCCAGCTGGAATTTTCACTTGGCAGGTTAAGTATCTAATTTTTATTTTGCCTTAAGTTTCCACATCTGTAAAGTGAGGATAATGAACGCATCTACATTCTTCATTGAGTATTCTGATAATTAGTTAATATGTAAAATGTTTAGAACAGTGCCAGCAGACGGTAAATACTACATTAATTACATGACATTATGTTTAATATATTTAATTACTGGTGATTAAACATGATTCTCCTTGGCGCTTGGAGGTGAACCTCCTGGCCAGTGTTTGGAAGAACCACAATGTACCAAAGCTAAAAGTGTAACTGGCCGGAAAGTACTGGCGGTCAGAGGACAACTTCAGAAGTTAGTTTTCTCCTTCTACCACGTGGTTTCTGGGGAATCAAACTCAGGTCCTCAGGCTTGGCGCAACTCATGGCCAGGCTAAACAAACTCCTGGGCCTTCCTTCTGGCTATCAGACTATTGAAATACTGGCCCCTAAGGAAATGGAGTTTCCCCAGGAATCTCATGCTGGGAGAAGGAAAAGGCTGAACCCTAGTGTCACCAGATGAGGAACTAAGAAAGACACTTCAGAGTTTTGACAACTTGTCAGAACAACCTGCAGCAGAGACTGAAGCTGAGACAGTGACAAGACAGCAGCACCACACTTTGACTAGGATGTTGACCTCTTACACGCTACTCAAACCTACACCTCATGTCAAGACCTCAAAGATGAACAGGGGTGGGGGTGAGAGTGTCACTGGACCCCTTTCTTTATCTGCTCCTTTTCCCAATATAGCCACGTTGAATAAATGTGCTTTCCAGGCTTTTCACTGTGCTTGTCTGTTTAACTGGCTTATTAAAGATGGGTGCCAGGCATGGCAACACACACCTTTGGTCAGAGCCCTCACTCGGGAGCTAGAGGCAGGCAGATCTCTGAATTCAAGGCCAACCTGATCTACGTAGACTGTTCCAAGCTACACAGAAAGACTCTATCTCAAAAATAAACAAACAAAAGGCAGGTGGCTAAACCCAACTGTTAGGGCTGCGACAGTCCAGGCTCTTATCTGACCCTGACAGCTCCAATAACAAAAGGGGCTTTGGACACTGGGACAACGTATGACCCTTAAAGCCTAAAGTATTTACTAATGGCTCTTAACAAAACACTGACAGCTGCTGCTCTAACCCAGGACATTTTCCCATTCTAACATACCCAAAGAGGAAGTGGAGACCCAAATAGAGCCATGATTTGTCCAAAGTTATACCTACATAGAGTAGTGGGACTGAGAGTAAAACCCAGCTTTCCAGGTAAACAAACCAGGTAAGAGAAGATCTCAGAGTAACAACTGAGATCTGTAAATTAAAGATACTAGCCTTTAAAGTTGGTCAACAGTTACTAGGACACTTGCTAATTGCTGTAACCCAGAAGAAGTGCTTTTGACACTCCTAAATGACCCTGTGACCCTCATGTACAGCAAAGGTTGAGAAGCACACTCGAGTGCTGTGCTAAGCTGTGGGTATACACAAGGAGAGAGGAGGGCTGGGGAAATGGCTCTATGATAAAGCACACAAGCAAGAGGAACAGAGTTTGGATTTTTCAAAACTCACATAAAGACAGTGCAGAAGTGTGCAGCAAAGATAGGATCCTGGGCAAGCTGGCTAGCTAGAGCGGCCACAACTGGCAAGCCCCGGGCTCAGCCTGCCTCAATAAGTAAAGAGAGGATGAGGAGACCCAACATCAACTTTGAGCCTCTAAACAGCCCACAGATGTGAACACACTACAAACACATATATATGCGAAGAAAAGAAAGAAAATAAAAAAAAGATATGAAAGAAACAGGCAAAGCAAGGGGAGAGGATGGGGCAGGAGAGTTGACAAAGAAGGTCCTCATGGTCACCTGCTATTGCCTACAAGAATGTGAAGACAATCTTGTGGTGGTTTGACTAGGAATGTCCCGTCGGCTATATATTTAAACATTTGATCATTAGGGAGTGATGTTAGTAGGGATTAAGAAGTTTGGCCTTGTTGAAGGAGGTGTATCACTGGGGGTGAATTTTGGGGAGTCAGATGCTCAAGCCAGGCACAACTGGCCCAACGGTGTGTGTTCGTGCAGGCGTGAATGCTCATCTTCTTGATGTCTGTGAATCAAGATGTAGAACTCTCAGCTCCTTCTCCAGCACCAGGTCTGCCTATGTGCCAGCATGCTTCCCGCCATGCTGATAATGAACTAACCTGAACTGTAAGCCAGCCCCAATTAAACTCTTTCCTTTATAAGAATTGCCTTGGTTATGGTGTCTCTTCACAGCAATAGAATACTGTCAAAGACAAACCCCAAGGAAAGGGAACGAAAAAGGAAAATAGGTAGGGGAGCCCCAGCCCTTTTTTGAAGCTCACTATGTAGCACGGGCTGGTCCAAATTCAAATGCATCTCGTGTGGAAACCTCTAAAACGCTGAGGGTACAGATGTGGGTCCTGT